ATTTTTTGTACCAGTTATATTGTTTTTTGTACTGGTTCATCTCCTACTATTGCTTTATTTCTTTATATTATATGTTTATGCGATTGGACATGATAGAAAATATATTACTGATTCCCAATGCGGCGTCATAAGGACAACTTATTGAATACCGCCGACGTGTTGAAAACTCTAGGTGCAGGTGCATATGGACAACTTATTGACTATCTCTGACGTCTTCAAAGCTCTAGGCGCATGCGCAGTTCCAATGATGGCTTCGAAGTAGTGGTGCATTTATTATATATGTACATTATTATAACCAAAACAGATAATTTTACATCCTTATATATGAAAGGAAACTAATTCTTGTATTAGTACAAATTATATAACGAATATTAAGGAAATATACTTGTTAAAGTGACAAACATATATACTTAGGGTTAAGAGGAAAGTGAGTTATGTAAACAATTTTGAATTTTTAATTGCGAAAATGGATGATTTATGGGTTCCATAGTTTTATAACGTCATAAGGAGGCCGGAGTATTTGTCGGGGCATTTTTAGGATTTTTCTACTATTTATTGCATTTTTTCAAAGATTTTTGCACTAAAAAAGCCAAAATAATTGCCAAATGGACACATGGCGCGATCTCAGCCCCTCACCTTTCACCCCTTGACAAGTGTGCGTCAGTCAACATGGCCACATCCTTACCTTTTACCCTAAATTATTATTTTATGACTTTTTCTTAGAAAATTCATAACTAAATACACAAAAATCAGAAAAATGATCCGAAAATTGCTACGAACTCATTGAGACTCCATCTCCCTTGCTGAATCCCCCGATTAGTGGTTACGCATTTTAAAAAACAATTCCGAACATTAACGGGAGATGCTTGTTGAAGTAGGTTATTGAAGTTAAAGTTAACAAACATATATACTTAGGGTTAAGAGGAAAGTGAGTTATGTAAATCATTTTTGAATTTTTAATTGCGAAATGGATGATTTATGGGTTCCCCTCGTTTTATAACGTCACAAGGAGGCCGGAGTATTTTTCGGGGCATTTTTAGGATTTTTCTACTATTTATTGCATTTTTTTCAAAGATTTTTGCACTAAAAAAGCCAAAATAATTGCCAACTGGACACATGGCGCGATCTCAGCCCCTCACCTTTCACCCCTTGACAAGTGTGCGTCAGTCAACATGGCCACATCCTTACCTTTTACCCTAAATTATTATTTTATGACTTTTTCTTAGAAAATTCATAACTAAATACACAAAATCAGAAAAATGATCCGAAAATTGCTACGAACTCATTGAGACTCCATCTCCCTTGCTGAATTCCCCGATTAGTGGTTACGCATTTTAAAAAACAATTCCAAACATTAACGGGAGATGCTTGTTGAAGTAGGTTATTGAAGTTAAAGTTAACAAACATATATACTTAGGGTTAAGAGGAAAGTGAGTTATGTAAATCATTTTTGAATTTTTAATTGCGAAATGGATGATTTATGGGTTCCCCTCGTTTTATAACGTCACAAGGAGGCCGGAGTATTTTTGGGGCATTTTTAGGATTTTTCTACTATTTATTGCATTTTTTCAAAGATTTTTGCACTAAAAAAGCCAAAATAATTGCCAACTGGACACATGGCGCGATCTCAGCCCCTCACCTTTCACCCCTTGACAAGTGTGCGTCAGTCAACATGGCCACATCCTTACCTTTTACCCTAAATTATTATTTTATGACTTTTTCTTAGAAAATTCATAACTAAATACACAAAAATCAGAAAAATGATCCGAAAATTGCTACGAACTCATTGAGACTCCATCTCCCTTGCTGAATTCCCCGATTAGTGGTTACGCATTTTAAAAAACAATTCCGAACATTAACGGGAGATGCTTGTTGAAGTAGGTTATTGAAGTTAAAGTTAACAAACATATATACTTAGGGTTAAGAGGAAAGTGAGTTATGTAAATCATTTTTGAATTTTTAATTGCGAAATGGATGATTTATGGGTTCCCCTCGTTTTATAACGTCACAAGGAGGCCGGAGTATTTTTCGGGGCATTTTTAGGATTTTTCTACTATTTATTGCATTTTTTCAAAGATTTTTGCACTAAAAAAGCCAAAATAATTGCCAACTGGACACATGGCGCGATCTCAGCCCCTCACCTTTCACCCCTTGACAAGTGTGCGTCAGTCAACATGGCCACATCCTTACCTTTTACCCTAAATTATTATTTTATGACTTTTTCTTAGAAAATTCATAACTAAATACACAAAAATCACAATAATGTTCCGAAAATTGCTACGAGCTCATTGAGACTTCATCTTCCTCCTGAATTCCCTGTTTCATGGTTACGCTACATTAGTATTTTATTATTATTTATCCAAAATTATTTTTATTATTATTGTTATATTACTTTTTAGCTTGTACATTTGTTAATTATATTTACTCCAAATTTTTAATTTTATTTTATTTTCCGTGTGAATAGACCATTTCTGGTGCTAATCAGTTTCTCTCTTCTTCAATTTGTTAATGTTTTTTCTTTTTTAGGTTTAAGGGATGTTTTCAAACATAAAATGGAAATATACAAGCCATCCATTCTACAACATCAGGAAATAATTATTCAAAGTCTTTCACTGTTCAAGTTTTGCTTAAGAAACGTGTAACCCCAATCATTTGGGATATGCTAAGTGGGAAAATGTCATTCCCAAGAACCGGTGAAAAGACACATACTCACTTCATGCATGCGTTTTCGTTTACCAAATATTAATATTGCAGTTGTGCAAAATATATGTGTCAGTAAAATGTCATTCGTAGCCGTCAATTATGTCAGTAATAATTCCACTATATAACAAATATTATACATTTATATATAAAACGGTTTAGGACAGCACAAACAAACACCAGACAAAATAGATTAAAACATGAAATAGAAAACAACATTTGTAGAAAATAGACACGCATAAAAACCGTAGAAACATACTACAACTAATTATAAGGGTATGGATTCCCTGGCACAACATAGACACGCATCACCTTGAACCAAAAAACACTCTCACGGTGCCATTTGCATCGATTGCAACAAGTCCAGAAGGCAGGATTGATCTTTTCTTCACTAGGCCAGCCTGGAATAACAAAACACCAGTCGTTGTTGTTACAAGCGCTGCACTGAATGAACTTAATCTTCCTATAGGGCTTTTTTTCTTCCGGCAGCTACTACGGGCCTGACTGCCGTAAAGGGCAAAATGGAAGAAATTGCCCCTTGAGCCTGAGTTCGAAAATTAAGCCCCAAAATACCTCGAAAAGGCAGTAGAGCCTTAGGAAGTATTTTGGTTATCTTCACCAACCAAAATAATGGCAGCTTACAGGTAATTTCTTCATGCTTACAGATAAACTTTTGAGTTTGGCATGAGGGGCTTGTGGCATGGGAGCAAAATTAGCATGAGTTGAGCACCAAAAAGGAAATATGGCTTCCTAGGGGAGAAAAGGGAGTGTTTAAGGTGAGGAAGAAGAGGTTTTCAAGCATATGTGGCTAGGAAGAGAAAAGGGAAGAACTATGTTCTTCTGGCAGCTTGTCAGAAGAAGAAAATGGAGGAAGATGAACAGTGCACGAAATTGCTGGTTTTTGCAAGTATGAGAGGAAGCTTGCTCTCTAGTTGTGGATGATTTTTGTTGGGTAGAAGAGGCCCTAATTTATAGCCGCTGGAAGCTGATATTTTCCAAGAAAACCTAATGGCTTCTACCCATTTTGGCTAAGCTTTTCCTTCCTTTCTCCCTTCATCTCTTCAATCATCCCTTTTTGGTGAAATCCACTCTACCCATTTGCATAAAATCAGGGATTTTTGGGAGCTCAAAGCCCCCTTTCCTGCGGCTGTTTCAGACTTCTATTTTCAGCCATCTTTCTTCCTTCTTTTCTCTCCTTTTCCAAGGCTAGGTCTGATGAGGGAAGGAATGGGTATGCATGCTGGTTCAAATGGTGATCTTGCGCTCCAATATCCCTTGGTCATTTGGAAGTTTTTGCTTGAAACTTGTTTCTCCCACGTGTTGGAGCTTTCCAGCAGCTTTCACACATGGATATTTTGGCTTTCAACGTGGCTTTTGTTTTCAGCTAGGTGCTGAAGATTTTGCATATATATTTTTTTGGGTTGCTTGGGCCTTCTATGACAATAAGTTGGTTTATCAAGTACATGGGCTAACTTCATCAAGTATTGGGCTAGTTTGGTTGAAGTGATGGGCTATATTGGTCGGAGTAATGGGCTACTTTCTCTTTTGTGCTCACCCACATGTTTGGGCCTAAGAAATGGGCTTGGGTTCCGAGGCTCCCAAGTAACCCGGAACCTCCACTTCTTGGTCCATCAATGGGCCTCATGACAATTTATTACCATCCATACCACAACCCACTCAAGCAAGCCCCGGGTATTTGAGTGGCTTGGGGCCCACTTAAGCTTGTGGCGTGATTAGGTGCGGAATGATAATTCCTTGCTTAGCGTGGCGTGTCGTTTGGCGTGGCATGTGTGCAAGCGCATATGATGAACTTTCGCATGCCCAAATCGGGTTTCTTCTTGGTAAAGCATCGCATTGGGCCGAGAATTTATTTGGGCCGAACCGTGAATATTTTGGGCCTCAACATTAGCCCCCTTGATTATTGGGGCCATAAATGTGTATTGAAATGGTCCGAATAATCAATTTTCAGCCCAAAATAAATTACCGTGGCATGGCATGGCATGGGTTTAGGAGCAACTCAAGGATAACAGGTTAAGAGTCTCTGAAATTACAGCCAGGTCTTTTCCGGGAAGGTTGGAGGGGTCACAATGGTCCCCGCTTAAAACCCAATCCTTCTTAAACACCGAGGGTGTTGCCTTGAAGAACTTTCCTAGACACTGTAATTTTGGAGGTCACTTACTAGAGTTACCAAGAGTTGACCTTATTTTGTGGCATGATATAGAAGAAAATGCTTGGTGGATTAGCTCATGATAACTACTTAGCTCGCATGATTTATTTGCTTGAGTGACTAGAGAGGCTTGATTTTGCATGTTTGTGGTTTGCAAGAGTTGCATTGACTTGTGTATCTAATATTAGTTATGTATGCTTGATTTTGGATTGCATGATTTGCTTTGACTTCTATATTTGGTATTTGGCTTGATGCTTAGCATTGGTATGTATGCTTGATTTTGGCTTGATACTTGGGTATTGGCGTGTGTGCTTGATTTTGGCTTGCATGCTTGGATGCTTGGTTTTGGCTAAGGTAGCATGGTTTAATATGGCTTTTGGGACATTTAGCATGGTGGATGTCATTTGACAGTAGCCGGACGTGCTAGTGGATAGTGGGGATCCAATCTTAGAGTTGCGGATGCAATAAGCTTGGATTCATCATTGTGTTTGATTTTACAGCACCAGCCTCCGAACACTTTGAATTTAGAGGACAAAACTTCAATGAAGGTGATATCGTGCGACATGATGGCTAGATATTGGAAGAATGCTTGAAATAGGGCATGTGCTGGAAGGATGTTTGAAATAGGGCATGTGCTGGAAGGATATTTGAAATATAACAAGTGCTGGAAGGATATTTGAAATAGGGCATGTGTTGGTAGAATGTTTGAAATAGGGCATGTGCTGGAAGGATATTTGGAATATAACAAGTGCTGGAAGGATATTTGGAATAGGATAGGTGTTGGAAACGGTTTTGTTTGGCATGGAATAGGTGCTGGAAAAAATGTGACTTGGCTTGGCATGATTAGCTTGGACTTGGATAATCTAATGGTTGAGTTGAATCAAGATATAGCTTGATCTGGCATGAGGGTTCACTCTTCCGGTAGCATGAATATTGGTGTTTTGGAAAAACGATACCCCTTTGTTGCAATGAGGACAATTGGCATAGCATGACTTCTTCTATGTGCTTCCAGCAACTAGAACTGCCAAGTTCTAACATTGCCATTTTTATGATGACTGTATTGCTTGAAAAGCTTGATATTGTGATATTTGGTTTGGTTTGCTTGAAATGATTGCATCTAAGTGAAATGCTTGAGTTGCATGGTTTGCGTGGATTGATTCACAAATGCTTGTATTGATGGGTGGAAGAAGAGATACGAGTTTGAGAGAGCATAAGAGAGCTGGGCACGTTGTCTCCTTGCTGGCTTGGCCTTCAGATGGGCAAAATTTTGTTGCCCCTTCCCTTTGAATTTTTTATTATTTGCAAGTGTCTACCCTCTTTTCCTTTCATTTGGCATGGCATGCTTTATTTTATGATTTTCTCTCATTCTCTTCTTTCTTCTTCTTCAAGACCCAAACCCGTGGGTATTGTGCATCAATACATAAGTCATATTTCGGAAGCTCGGATCAGAAAACTTCCTTGATCAAAGTTGTTCATCTGCTCGAGTACTATAGCCATTAAAATTTTCAGAATTTTTTGAATTTTTCTGATACCTCAAAGCTGGTTTGCAACTTCTGCATTCATCCATGGTTGGTGAGTTTTTGCAGATTTTTCTTCTGCATGTGTCTTTAACTTATGATGCTCGTATGATTGCACTTGCTTCACAAAATTTGCTTGAAATTATGTTGTTTATAACAAATCCAAAATTGAGGATCATCCACCCATTCTGGTGCTCTCTGCCTCCATTTTTCTAAAGCATGTTCATGAGTTGATGTTGATGCCTTTGTTGCATGCTTGTCTTCTATGCTTGAATGCTTGAGTTCCTCTGTATTTCCCAGAATTTGTGAACTAGAAATCGAATTCTAAGGTTGAGCTTTTGATTTAGGATTCTAGCTTGGTGATAAACAAGAGTTATACAAGCTCACTTGGGTATGCATGCCAAGTGTTTGTCAAAATATCTCAAAGTAGCTTGCTGGCTGCTTTTTGAACTTTTGAAATGTTTCTTTTCGAATCTGAGTTGGAGCTTTTGAGACATAAAAATGGACTTCTCAATGGTTATGTTGAAATTGGTCTTGCATCACTTGAAGAAAAAATGAATTTTCGGTGGAATTTCAAAGTAAGGGTTAAGGTGCTGGAGCTGTACAGTTTCTGCTGCATGGGCTGTTTTAGAAATCTGTTTGACATGCTTCCCTAGCTCGAAATGCAACGAAATTTTGGGAAAATGAAGCTTGATATGTCTAGTTCTAATCTGGAAAGTCTGGGATTTTGTTGGTTGTAAGCTTGATTTATAGTGATTTTCTAAAGGTGGGATATTCTAGCTAGGATGGTTGGAAAGCTTGTGTATAAGTTTTGCTTGGCATGTTGCTTTTGCTTGGGAATTTAGCATGTCTTTTCTGTTGGCATTGAGTGCCGATCTGAGTATTGCTAAAGCATGTTCTTGAGCAATATTGTCGTGAGAGCATGAAGTGGAATGGTATTGTTGTAAGAGCATGAATTCTTCAATTTGCTTTGAGATGCCCGAATTGCTTGAAATGCTTGAATGAAATGAAATTTCTTGGCATGTGAATTGGTATCACACCTTGTGAATTTTGTCAAATGCTTGATAGATGAGTTTGCTTGCACTTTGAGAAAATTATGCTTCCGGCACATCCGTTTGTGTATGAGTACCTTTCCGGCGTCTGATTTTGGCTAACATATTCTCTTGTTTTAAAAGCTCGAAAGCATGATAAAGCATGAGAAGTCTAATTTGATAGCATGAAAGTGAGTCTTGGTCTCTTGCAACTTGTCTTTGGAAAACATTATGCTTTAGCGATTCTACTTCCGGCACCCCCTTTCTGTTTACAAGTTCCCTTCCAGCACCTGATCTGACCAACGTACTCCCTTATTTATTTTTCAGGCTTGATTGAGAGATTCCACAGCATGAGAAATGCCATCTTCTTACTAATTTGCAAGGAATTTGGTAGCATGAAGGTGAGTTTTGGTTGCTTGCACCTTGACTTGCGATATGAAGGCTTTTGGAAGATTTGAAACTAGCAGAATGTTTGAAATTAGGCATGTACTGGAAGGATGTTTGAAATAGGGTAGGTGATAAAAATTCTTTGCTTATGGAGTAGGTGCTAGAAGAATGTAACTTGGCTTGTTTCAAAAAGGGGAAATAGAAAACTGTTTCTCACCATAATGCAAGATTATCTAGGCTTGTTGTAATCAAAGAAATGATTTATACTGTGTGGCAAAAAAGGTAGATGGGTTTGCTTGTTTGGATGGCATGGTGTACTTCCTTGAATTTGCTTGGCATGAAGCCCTCAAGTCAGCTTGTTGAGGTCAGCAATTGGTTGCAGAGTTGGGTTATATTCTCTTTGGCTTACTCAGGGTCGAGAAACAAAGTAGAGGCCTGCTTGTAAATTTTTTTTTTGCAACTTGCTTCAAAGAAGATCTTTGGAAGAAGTAGACTGAAGATGAGAAGGAAGAGGCTAAGCGAGTTGCTGGAAGAGATTCATACAGCTTGTTTTTCCTCCAGATAAGTAACAAACAGTTTGCTTTTCTCCAAGAGGAAAACTGAAATTTACAACAGCTTCAGGATTCTTGTCTCTCTCTTTTGCTTGGCATGAAGCCCCCAAGTCATTTGGAGTTTGCATGTGCTATTTGCTATGATGGATTCTCTTAAGCCCCCATAAGCCTTTCGCAAGATGTTTTGTCTGAAAAGCTTTAAATTTTTCTGTAGTGCAATTGCATGAATAAAGCTTGTGATTTTTCAGGAGTTGTCGTATAGCCATGAGAAAGAAGTTCTTGCAAGTATTAGTTGCCGAAGTATCCATCTTCAGAAAGACCAATTCTTAAGTATGCCTGAAAATAATGATGGTGCCAAAGTCTGCGCAGAAAAACATGGGGACAATTGCAATGATGGGTCAGCTGGTTGCATAAATAATGAGATCAACAATGGTGATGAAGGAGATGGTAACGTGAAATAGAAGATACGATATTCTTTTAGCACCAACTACCCTTCTCCCGGCACCTACTACCCTTCTTCCAGCACCAACCTCCCTTCTTTCTTGGTGCATTTGAGGTCGTCTTTTGAGGTGATTGACAAGGTATGCCCTTTCCTCTTTGCAATTTCTTGAATCTATCGAGGGGCTTGTTGGGCTCTTCATGCCCATGGGCTTTGCTCGTTCACTGGAATCTTAGGTCCTTCTTTTTAACTCTGTAGGAATAGATATAGAATGATATCTTGGCCTATGCTTGTTTTTTCGCATGCTTGAATAAATTTGGACTTTTCTCCCATGTTGTGGAAATAGAAATTGATAGAGTGCATGCTCAGCAATGCTTGAATCCTTTTGCATTTTGAGGAAGAATTTGCTTGTCATGGGAATTGCTTGAAAATTTCGCTTGCCATGGATAAATTGTATGCTGCTTAGGTATTTGCTTAAGTGTTTCCTTTGGCCTGAGCTTGACTTGCCCTGCTTGGCGTATATTTTGCGTGTGCTGCGTTCTTGACCCGCTTTTTTGTTGTTGAACTATATGCATCACGAGCGCATGCTTGTAATCGTATGATTAATGCATAGGATTAGAGGCTATTGAAAGCTTTGAGAAAAGCACCATTGGTTTCTTTTCTTTTTTTCTTTTTTTTTATGAGCTTAGAATTTGGTCATGGATAACTGTTTATTTTTTTGGCTTTATAGGGATAGACATAAACATGTGTATGATGGGTCTGCAAGGATTTGTAACTCGTAGGTATTTCGTTTTTGTGAAAAAGGTTACTATGAGGTAAATAGTGCTCAGTTTGTAGCACTTGCTTTGTGAAAAGGGTCTGCTGGAATGATTGATTGAGCATGGAATGGGAAATTTGCTCATCATGAGCTCGAGTAATAGATTGCATGATGCTTCAAAAATATTTTTTTTTGTTTATGCATTTCGCTTGGCATGAGATAGCTTGCTTTGCTTGGCTTGTAAAGTTCATAGGGCTTGCATGCTAGTGTGGAGATTGCTTGGCTTTAACACAGAGAACTAGCTTTATGCTTTGCCGTTTTTTCAGCGTATTCTTTGTTGGCAATTCTTGCAGGGATTCATCGCTTGTCAAGACCTGCCATGGCATTCACTAACCCGTTGTCAATTATTAGTGGCCACCTTTATTCAACGGATGATAAATTGAAGAGGGGAAGCCCCCCTCCATTTCTCAAGAATGCTTGTGAAGATGTTGCAGTAGGCGAAGAGCCAGTGTCGTCTTGCTGCGTTTGTATCATTATGGTTCGGGAAATTCCTCCTCTGACTTTTCCCAAGATTGTCTGCATGCGCAGGTGTTCCCCTTGGCTTTAGCAATAGCGCATGGCGGCATGATTCCCATAGCCCCTATGTTCTTGGGACATCCGATGCAGGGGTAGACAATGCCCTGCTTCTTCTAGCAGTGCTGCCTCATACTCATCCTTTTCTCGGAACATCCAACATAGCTGCCGGCACTGCCCTGCACCTTCCAGCAGTGCTGCCTCCTACTCATTCTCTTCTCAGAACATGCGACATAGCTGCCGGCGCTGCCTTGCATCTTCCAGCGTGCTGCCTTCTACTTCTCCTCTTCTCGGAAACATCCAACATAGCTGCCGGCACTGCCCTGCACCTTCCAGCAGTGCTGCCTCCTACTCATCCTCTTCTCAGAACATGCGACATAGCTGCCGGCGCTGCCTTGCACCTTCCAGCGTGCTGCTTCTACTTCTCCTCTTCTCGGAACATCCAACATAGCTGTCGGCACTGCCCTGCACCTTCCGGCAGTGCTGCCTCCTACTCATCCTCTTCTCAGAACATGCGACATAGCTGCCGGCGCTGCCTTGCATCTTCCAGCGTGCTGCCTCCTTTTATTTCGCAGGTTGTTTTCTTTGGCTTGGGGTCAGTTGGCTCGGTGCACAGCTTCCATCTTTCTTGATACCATAGGATGTACTAATCTCCAGCATGTGTAACCTTGTTTTTGCAATGGCTGTGTACTTTTCAGATAATCTAACGACTATGTCATTATGACTTTGTAATGTACTACTGAACCACTGGAACTTGCATTAATTTCTGAATGCTTGAGGCATGTTGTAATTCGTACATCTTATATATATATTGCTTGGTTGGGAGAACTTGCTCTTGTGAACTTCTTGAAATTTTCTGACGAGTTGGCAAGCCTTAAAAACAAGGTATACGCTGCCCAAAATTTTGACAGGACCTTTAAGCTAAATCTTCGATGCATTGCTCTTTAAAACTTTTGCAAGGCTTGTCTACTCATTTGGCCTAAAATGCACCCTCTTTCCGTGCCTTAAAAAGGGTCAGGCCACTGTATGCATGATTTCCACGAAGGCTCCTGTAAGAATTGCCTGATGTTGTGAAGTTTTTTTGAGCATTCCGATTGGGATGGAGTCAACGGTTTTCGTTATTCCAGCGCCTCAAAATACACTTTTACTGCTTGTTTCTTTGTAATAGCTTGACTTTGCATACCCCCACATCATTTTGCTTAGGCTTGATGCTTGTTTCAGTTCGGGACCCCATCCAAGTGGCTTTGCTTGGCATGGTTACTGCTGAGAGGCCTAGCTTTTTAAAAGGAAGTTTGCTTGTCTATTTTCTTTTTTCTTTTCAAAGGACATGTTTTGCAAAACAGAAGAAGAAAAAAGGAAGGAAAGAGATTTTAGGTTTTTTTTTTGTTTTTTTTTTTTTTTTTTTTTTTTCCACTACCATTCTCATTGCAAATATCATTTTACACCTTGGCATGCAATAATGGTGGTGCATTCTACCAAAGTTGTGAAAAGCATATGGTGAAAACACAAAAGGAGTTCATTTTTTAAATAAATTTGAAAAGCCAAAAACAAAATGATAGGTGCAAAAGTAATTCAGCAATAATAAGACCTTAAGCCACTTTGCATTGATGAATACTCCAATCAAATCAAGCCCCCCAAATATGAAAGGGCCCAAGGTTGTGCATGACTTGCAATAGCATGAAAGCTTGTGGCTTAGGTTGGCATGTATTTGGCATGTGTTGTACTAGGATGCGATGCTCTGTAGAGATATTTAACAGAGCCACAGTTGCTGCTTTGCTTGCCTGCAGCTCATAACCCAACTAATCAAAGAGTGATTTGCAGCTCCTAACCCATTGTACTTTCTTCAACCTCTGTGAAGTTATGAGAGGTTACAACAGCTGCTTCTTGATAATCTTAATGACCAAATGAAGCCTCCGAGTGGCTTTCTTCCAACATGTCCAATGTGAATACTTCGCTGCTGGAACCATTCTCTCATCAATTAGCAAGTAGCCATGGGGTGTTATAGCTTGCAGATTTTGAATATTTGCTCAAGTTGGCCTTCTTCATATTTCCACAAGGTTCCCACATAGCCTCCGGTGGCTTTGGGTCATTCTTCCACAGGTGGCACAATACGTCGTCGTCGAGCAAGTCATCAAAGCACGTAATGACAGTAGCCATCTACTTTCCCCTTCGTTTTGGCAAGGGGTCCTTGTCAATAGCTTGCCTCTTAGAGTTTTGTCATGTATCTCGGCGTGTAAGATCTTCCTTAGAGTATGGCAAGCAGTGGTGGATGTTGCAGGTGAAGAATGGATGAATATAGGAAAATACGCTTCCAGCACCCCTTTTCTTGAAAGCTTGACATCGCTTCAAAAATTCTGATTGCTTGGTAAAATAAACTTCATCTTGACAGCATTTAGGTTCTTCCAGCAGTATCATAACACTACCTTCGCAATATTTTCCTTTCATTTGCCATGAATTGAGATGTTTTCCTTCTTGAGTAAAGCATAGTGCTTGGATTTCTTGACTAAGGCTCGGGGCTTGATGATGCTTGATTATGGAATTGTGGCAATTGAGACATCCCGATAGCCTTTTGGTTTTGACTCCTAAACTTGGTCATTGGAATAATCAAGGCTTAGAAAGTGCTTGAGGCGTTGGAGCATATCAGTTATGGCAACTTAGGTATTGTTTGTTGCAGCTGTTGTGAACATGTTTTAGGAACCAAAAGCTTGGACTTGGCTATTGGAGCTTGAGCTTTGTATGTGGTCACTGCAGCAAATGTGTTGGGTTACAACAACAAGTGATGGCGAACTTGGAGGTCATAGTAACATAATTGGGATTTCAAAGAGATTTTTGGTCTGGGAATAGTGGTTTTGGTAATAATGGATTTTTAAGCTCATTTGGGGTTTTGGAATCGCTGCCGTGGTGATTGCAATGAATTCCTTCCTCAGCCCCCAAGTGCACCATAATCATCAAAAAGGATTTGATGGGCATAGGCTACAAAAACTTTTGCAACATGGCCTTCTTAGTATTTGTTTGGGTCATTGCATGGCATGATGAACTTGGGATATCCCTTTGTTGCAACGGTGACAGTTTGGCATGATTCGGTGGTAGCATGTGCTTCTGGCAGCGGCTCTTCCAGCAGTGGTGTTTGGATTTTGACTGGCTCTGTTCTTCTTCCACTCTTCCACGGCTCTTTCAGTGGTGCTTGAACTTCTATGACTGGAAGTATAGAGAGAGATTTGTCTAAGGAATGGATGATAATGGCAGTGTGTTGAGATGTTGGGTAGGAAACATGAGAGCATTTGTTTTCTTGTTTGTTGTTTGGAGGCTTGGGTCCCTTGCACATGACCGATATAATACTGCCTTGGTGAAGCCATTCGCAGATATGAGGCTGAAAGCATTGAGCAAGTGTTCCTTCTCCCTCTCTCACCGTGTTTTCACAACTCTAGAGAGGTGAGGGCTGCTATGAAGGTGATTTACGGCGATGGCCAGACTTGCTGATGATGTATCATCGCGGAGAGGTGAACGGCAGAGCTAGCCTCAACCCTTGACGATGGTGGTCAGCGGCTTGCACGTTGGCTGAAGCCCCTAGTCCTCTTACAAGATATTGTTTTGCTTGAAAATGGATATCTAAGACACAAGCAAAGGGAGCATGTGAGTAATCTATATTATGTTTGTTCTACAAAGTAGATAGCCAACGAAAGGAAAAAGAAAAAGAAAGAGGGAATGCTCTTATCTCTTTATTTCCTCCGGTTTATTGCTTCTGGTCTTCTTCTTTGGAGGCATTGGTGCAGATAGTGGCTTAATCCCCAGAGTCGCCAATTTATGTAGGGGCTTTTTTCTTCCGGCAGCTACTACGGGCCTGACTGCCGTAAAGGGCAAAATGGAAGAAATTGCCCCTTGAGCCTGAGTTCGAAAATTAAGCCCCAAAATACCTCGAAAAGGCAGTAGAGCCTTAGGAAGTATTTTGGTTATCTTCACCAACGAGAATAATGGTAACTTGCAGATAGTTTTGGCATGCTTACAGATAGTCTTTTCAGCTCAGCATGAGTGGCATGTGGCATGGGAGCAAAATCAACATGGGTTTAGCACTAAGAGAGAAATTAGGCTTGGTTTATGAGAAAAGAAAGTGTTTAAGTAAGGAATGAGGTGTTTTGTGAGGAATTCGACTAGGGAAAGAGGAAAAAGAAAGGCAGAGTTCTTCTGGCAGCTGCCAGAAAAACAAATTGGAGAAGAAGATGAACAGTGCACGAGTCTGAGTTTTGCAAGATAGAGAGAAAAGCTTGCTCTCTGCAGGTTGTGAGTTGTTTTTGTTGGGTAGGGGAAGGCTCAATTTATAGCTGCCGGAAATCACCATTTTTCAAGAAACCCTAATGGCTTCTACTTACTTTGGCTAAGCTTTTCTTCCTTTCTCCTCCCCTTCTCTGACTTCCCTTTCTTGGCAAAGATTGCTTCTGTCTATTTTCATGAATTCAGGGGATTTGGGGGCTCAACATCCTCCTTTCCCGCGGCTGTGCAATGGGAGCTTCCACTCTTGGTTTGCTGTTTTTTCTTCTTTTCTTTCCTCTTCCTTGGCTGAATCTGACGAAGGAAAAGAGGTGAAAATACATGCTGGTCCAAGGGATGCTTCTGACAGCATGCGGGATGGTATTCATCGGTTCTTTGGATGTCTCTGGCTTGAGACTGGTTTCCAGCAGCTTTGCTTAAGGAGTCTGCCATCTGCTCTTCACGTGTCCTCTGCTTTCTCCAAAAGCTGAGGTTTTTTGTGGGCTATTTAGGATTTTTATATGGGCCAAGGTGATTTCCTAAGCAAAAGGGCTTTTACTAAACATTGGGCTTCTTAGTTTGGGCTTATTTTGGTTGGGTTGTTTTGCTTGGGTATTGGGCTACTTTTCTTTCTTGTGCTTACCCACATGTTTGGGCCTAAGAAACGGGCTTGAGTCTCGAGGCTCCCAAGCAACCCGAGACTTTCCATTTCTCGGTCCATCAATGGGTCTCATGTTGATTTATCACCATCCATACCACAACCCACTCAAGCAAGCCCCGGGTATTTGAGTGGCTTGGGGCCCACTTAAGCTTGTGGCGTGATTAGGTGCGGAATGATAATTCCTTGCTTAGCGTGGCGTGTCGTTTGGCGTGGCATGTGTGCAAGCGCATATGATGAACTTTCGCATGCCCAAATCGGGTTTCTTCTTGGTAAAGCATCACATTGGGCCGAGAATTTATTTGGGCCGAACCGTGAATATTTTGGGCCTCAACATCTTGCAAATGTGTCATCTCTTGCCTTGTTAGCCTCATCTATTTTCATGTCTCTCTCAATTCTCAATGCGCGGTTGATAGCAATTTGCTCTAAAAATTTGCACATTCATTGTTTGAAGTGCTTATTCTCTTAGCTTTTGTTGCCTTTCTCCCAATAGGCCTCGACTCTCTTTGGATTAGTGAGTCTTGATCGATTGTCCCAACTGCAAATCCGATGCCGGTGAATCGTGGAGCGGCATCTCATTTAACACAACACTTGGACCCGTGGGAATAATTTTAAATCTCGGACAATTCTTCACAACCTCCCAACATTAGTGATTGTTGAAAGATTTTTTGCCTTGGCCAATGGCACCGAACCACATTTGTGTTTGAATAATCTATAATTAAAAAAAATAAATTGGAAATGCAAGAAATATCAAAAAATAAAACAACAATTACAATTTTTTTTACCTCATTGTCAAGATTTTCGCCGCTTCGAACATTGTCCCTTGTTTTTGCCAACACATCTATTCATTTCCCTAATTCTTTATTTAAAAAATTTCACCTATTAATCAAGACCATTTCCGTACGAGGCGAACTCGATCTTTCATAAAATTCTTCATGAATTTTCCTCCACATATGAGAGAACTTCATCTCATTGCCTGTGATCGGGCAACGACCAACTTGAACCCAATACTCACATAACAAAACATCTTCCATAGTTTTCCATGAGCCTCCGGCTTCGGCAGAAGATGTCATTTGTATTTTTACACAAATGGAATTTAAAGCAGTAGAAAATTTGGTGTGGAAAGTGAACAATTTACACAAAGATAGGAGAAGAATTTGTATGAAGATTTGGTGTGGAAAGTGAATAATATTTTGTAGGTATTTATAGAAAAAAAAATCATAATTTTTTTGTATTTTTTCACCTTTTTTGAATTTTTTTTTTCAATTTTTATGTCGTTGGATGGCAATGGAAAAAATTAATCGGACACCCTAGGTAGCGCCACTTGGTTCTAGCCATTGGAGGAAAGTAGGCGCTGACACCAGGGAAAAAAAAATCAAATTTTTTTACTGTTTGTGTGTGCGGTCCCCGCCTGTATGTCACGCGCCGATGGTAAAAAAATTAATTTCGTGCGTTGGTGTCATAGCTCACGAACAGGAGCTCGAGCTCATCTTTTCTCCTGACAAGATTTGTGCGTTGGAACCTACTTTGAGGCCTAGGGCCTTTTGCCTGGGCTACATGGAAGATCATATACAACTTAATAATATTATTTCCTTTTCTTTGTATCTTGTTCTTTTGATATTTTAACACTTATCATTTTGCCAACGGGATCTAGCCCAATTAAAAAGATTTTGATTTGCAGACAAAATGTCTCATGTTCGAATTTCATGACATCTTAGTTGTGTATATGAGAAATCCCCTTATTTTATAGTTTAGACTATTACTTATACTTTAAAAAAACACTTCTAGTATCATTTTATGATAAAATTTTGACTAATGTAAACTTCATTTAAAGTCTAATCCCAATGTGCATAGCCCCCGACCCCCCGGCCTCCTACGCTATCAAGGGCTACCTTCTTTATCTTTTCCAACCAAAGCTTAAGCTTTTAGATTTATATTTATTGGGTAGTCTATATCTTGCCTTCTTAATCAATTCAAACCTTGTCCTCTTCTTTCATTTTATGTAACCTAAAGAAAATATCTAATCAAAGTAAACTCGAACTTAATTTTTCAAAGGAAATATACATGCGAAAAATACAAGTTTACTAAATTTAGTCAGTAAAATTAAGATGTGACCAACTTGATAATGACCACTGTTGGGATTCTGTGGTTTTAGTACTACTGCAATTAACTGAGCCAGAGAATCCAACAGCTCAGAGAGAGAGAGAGAGAGAGAGAGAGAGAGAGAGAATAATTTAGCCACACATCTCTGTCAGTGATCAAGAAGGAAACTTAACTTGGATTTATGGCGTCATAGGGTTTAAGATTGATGTGCAGGCAGCAGGGCAAAGGCTAGCTGCCTTCCTGCCTAGACTTAAGCCATAAAAGACGAGTTGTGCTTGGCTCGGTTGTTGATGTATTTTGATGTGTATAAAGTTCACATCACATCAACGGCTTAATACTTTTCATTTTACGATTTGGTCAGTCCAAAAATTTCCAAATTTAGCACAGTTCCAACAAAATTATGAAAATATTTGAATTGAAATTAAAATGTACTTTGAAATTTTCTGAAATATATTAGAGTTTCAAGTTTGAGCTCTTCACAATGACTAATTTCACGTTCAAATATATTGCGAACTTTCAATTTTAAGCTCATTTTTCACCTCAAATTTTTGGGTATATTCAAAAGTTTGAATTATTGACAAATGGATTTTATATAATATATAAGTTTAAAATTTTTTTATGATCAATGTTGAAATAAATTTTCATTCCAAAAGTTTTTATAATGAAATCCCTAATTTTAATCTAATGCGTCCGAAAATCAAACATATGCATTAGCATTTCTCTTTAGAATTCAAGAGATATGTAAACTCTAAATATTGTTCATTCGCATACTCTCTCCAGTTTCTTGGAAGGGAGAGGCAATTGGTACCTATTGGGCCTAATGGCTACCATAGCCATCCTTTAGCATTCGAACGTCAAAATATAAGCAAAAAGGATCCAAATAACAATTCCGTTTATCAACATGTTTCATAAAAAAATTCATTATGATAACAACGAACAAAATATATCTAACTTGTGAATAGGAACTTCAAAAATAAAAACACACACACAAATTTTTATAATTTTGTTTGTATAATTTATGTTGTTTTTTAAATCACATTTTTGAAACAAAAAAAAATCCAAAAAAAAAAAAAAACCCTTATGTCACTTTAAAATATATTTTATTGATTGCAATTTTTCAATAACAACTTCCTTAATAAGATACAAAAAATGAACCCGATAGGAAAATATATATATATATATATATATTAAAGTTGGTTTAGCTGACTTTGTCTTTCGCAATTCCGTTATGAACTTTGCAGCCTAATAAAACAAATATTGTAAATAAAAAGTGCAAAACAATATGGTTTTCTCAATTCCTTATGACCTAGTTTGGCTTCATGTCAGACTTTTGGCCAGGTTGCCCTTTGCACTGTAAATTTTACTTTTACTTTTTAATTCTTTCAAATGATGTCCCTTTAAAATAATAATGCATGGATTTTATAATATTGGGGGGGATAGTTTGCATGGTAATATCAGCACGACTGGATCAAAACTCAACTTTCACCAAGACCTGAATTTGCAAAAAGAAGCCGACACTGTAAATCTGTACTTTGTTGATCTCTCACAATATCTTAAGTACAAACTACATTGATACAGTAATATGTATATTAAAATAAAAAGAACAGAGAGATTTCATGTATGACAAGCTTCTTCTGAACAAAGCAAGAAAGTACATGTTAATTAAGCCCTAGGGTATCCGGCTTGGTTAGCGAAAAAATTGGTGCAAAGATGTGAGATCTCATTCGTTTCTATGCTTCTTATGGTAGGGAGGGAAACTACTGTTAGATCTTACCCTCCAAATTTATGGGATACAAATCCCCTTCAGTAATTACTCCAACAAAATGGTGACGAAAAGGCCATGTGTTCTGCAGGAACAGACGGCGATTCTGATGAACCCTCAAGCATGTGTGGCAATTTTTGATATTATAGCTGGTGACCATATCTAAACACCCGTATGCATCCACAAACACTTGTGCACATGGCTCTTGAAATGAAAGATATACAAGAACCCAAAATTCAGACGGCATTGCTAGTCCGAGCTACTCTCTGAGCTTCTTCCAAATCTTTCAAGAACCTGTTTTTCCCAGCCAAACAATAATTGGAGCGGAGCATCTCATATTAGACAATTTCAATAAGCTACAGTAATTCACTAGAATAGCCTACAACATATAATTAAAAACCTCCAACAGTTGATGCATAAATACTTGTACCAAAATCTCTTAAGACAGTTAAGCAACTGTCTACCAAGCACAACCTCCCATTGTCCAGGATTGATCAGGCGAGTGGATGCTTAATTATCATGTCCTCTAAACTTTCTAGGAACTAATATGCTAGATGAATTGTACCTATATGGAATTAGTAATGCAACCAAAAATAACCCCAAGACAAGTTAAGATTTACAGAGGCCAAAGTAATCATGCCCAAAACTCTCAAACTTGCATCCAACACAAGAAGAAGTGGTATCAAGTCGGACCATTCAAAGCCAGTGTTAGATGTCAAAGCATCAAGTCCAGCTAGCACAGTATGTTAATTCCTTAAAGCCATAACATGTTTAACACTAACCTGAGTCTGACATGGTGCTGGGGCAGATTGGATGATGCTGGAACAGATTGGCAGTGCAAGGTATAGAAGTTCTTCTCCTGAGAATCCGATCCTATAGCTATAACTCTGATGGGTGAATTTCTGTTTAGCTGTGTTGTGTTATTCGGATCTAGGAGGGAGCCTTCTATTTATATGCATCTCTCTAAGTGTCTTGCCCATCAAGAAACACTTAGAGATATCCTTCATGCTATAGGATTAATCCATTCAATCCTTGTAGAACTAGGAACCCTTAAGCCTTCATTATCCTTATTGAACACTGTTTGAGGCTTGCCTAATCGAGATAGGTTTTGAGTTCCTAATAAACAATAAGTCTTTGTAATCCTAAGTTGATTAGAAGATCACTTTAGTAGGTTTAATGTAATAAACCTTCTTACATTCTCCCACTTGATCAATAATCAATTTAGACTTATTGTTCATTACTTAATGGCCATGTGGAACTCAAAATTCTCTTGTTCCTTTTATCAAGCCACTGTCATTTTGAAAAATTCATAAAGGACTATCGAAGTACATGGATATATAACATCCAAGACTTTTATAATCACATACATGAATCTGCAAAACACATAAGGCTTCCAACTGGATTGAAAAACAAGAATTGTTTTGGTTTTACTGTATGTGTGACAAAACTGAACAGTTCTTTGCCCACCCTTCAAAACTACCAAGGTTTTAACAATCTTTAATGACTCATTCATAGATTCAAACTGTAAACATAATGTTGACATGATTACAGTTTGGCCTTTGTTCTATTTGTCATCCATAAATAGCAAATGCAGAACATTGTATAAAAGTAATTCAATTAAATCTGCAAAATAAAACTGTCTAGATAAAACTAGTTAACAAAATCAGAATTAAAACATAACTGTAAAAACTCTAGCTCCCACTGACTCCCACTGACTTTAGGCATCAAAACTGAATTGCAATCCCATGCTTGCCACATGCCTGTGAAAAACATGATTAGGCAACCCTTTATTCAAAGGATCTGCAATCATAAAATCTGTGCCAATGTGACTTAGAGCAGTCTCTCCATCTCGAATCTTTTCCTTCACAGATAAGAACTTTAAATGCAAATGCCTCATTCCACTTGATCTCTTATTTCCTTGTGCAAAATATACTGCCGCAGTATTGTCATTCCATAACTGAATCGGTTTCTATATTGAATCCACAATTCTTAGCATAGACATGAAATTTTTAAGCCACATTGCCATTGAAGTAGCTTCATAAACTGCTAAGAATTCTGCTTGCATAGTGGAGGTTGACACATACTGCTGTTTCATGCTCTTCCATGCCACTGCAGCACCTGCAAATAGAAAAACAACTCCTGATGTGCATTTCTTAGTATCTTGGCATCCTGCAAAGTCTGCGTCTGCATATCCTTCCAGCTGCAAATTTCAACCTTTCTATAGACCAATTTGTACTCTTTAGTTCTCTGCAATATCTTAATACTTTCTTGCCTGCAATCCAATGTGCTTGGCCTGGATTAGACTGAAATCTGCCAAGAACACTTATGCAGAATGCCAAGTCTGGTCTAGTGCAGACTTGTGCATACATCAAGCTTCCTACTAGTGATGCATAGGGCTTGTCCTTCATCTCCAATCTCTCTTGCTCAGTTTTAGGAGATTGTTCACTGCTCAATTTATCCCCTTTTGAGAAAGGAACATCACATCCTGTACAGTTTCCCATGTTGAAACTTCTAAGCACTTTCTCAATATATGCCTTCTGACATAAGCCGATCATTTTCCTTTCTCTGTCCCTGCTGATTTCTATTCCAAGAACATAGTTTGCCTCTCCCAAATCACTCATATCAAAGTGATCTGACAGCATCCTTTTAGTGTCATGCAACATGGACAGATTGCTACTTGCTAGCAGAATGTCATCCACATATAGCAGCATGAGGATGAAATTCCTTCCATTGAATTTCATATAGATGCATTCATCCAATGGATTATCAATGAAGCCTTGGGACTTAACAACTTCATCAAACTTGAGATACCATTGTCTTGATGCCTGTTTTAGACCATATATTGATTTCTGCAGCTTGCACACTAAATTCTCTTCCCCTTTTGAGCCAAAACCATCCGGCTGTTTCATATATATTTCTTCAATCAGTTCTCCATTTAGGAAAGCTGTCTTAACGTCCATCTGATGAAGATGCAGATCAAAATGAGCAACCAAAGCCATTATGACTCTAAATGAATCTTTAGTTGATACAGGGGAGAAAGTTTCATTGTAATCAACTCCCTCTTCTTGTGTGTAACCTTTTGCCACTAATCTGGCTTTATACCTGTCTATTTGTCCTTGTGCATTCCTTTTGGTTTTATAAACCCACTTGCATCCTATAGGTTTGCATCCTAATGGCAAATTAACTAGTTTCCATACCCCATTTTTGCTCATTGATTCTAGTTCAGATTCCATGGCTGCAGACCACTGTGAACTTTTGTCACTTTCCATGGCCTGCTTGAAAGTTGCAGGGTCTTCCTCAGTATTGATGTCATGCTCTGATTCTTGCAGGTAAACAAAGTAGTCATTTGACAAGGCTGGCCTTTTAGGTCTCTGTGATCTCCTGAGCTGTAAATCTGGAGCCAGTTCTGGCTGATCTGGAGCCAGTTCTGGCTGACCTGGAGCCAGTTCTGGCTGATCTGGAGCCAGTTCTGGCTGATCTGTCTGCATTTCTTCCAGTTCTGGCTGATCTGTCTGCATTTCTTCTACTGCAGTTTGCTGGTTTTCAGTCACTTGTCCTTCATTATTCCCTTCTGCATTCATTGGTGAGCCTTGGTTTTCTTCCAAGGCATCAAAAGGTAAGATAGTGACTTCTCTTGTTTGGTTTTCAGCTGCAGTTTCCTTAGTTTCCAAAACTTCATCAAAAAACAAAATCTGCTTCATCTAATCCTTCCTCCTCTTCTTCAATAAAAATTGCTCTCTGTGTTTCCACAAATCTAGTGTTATTTTTAGGACAATAAAACCTATAACCTTTTGTCCTATCTGGATATCCTATGAAGAAACAGCTCACTGTTTTGGAATCAAGTTTCTTCTGCATAGGATTGTACAGCTTTGCCTCTGCCTTGCATCCCCAGGTCCTTAGATGAGCCAAGCTAGGCTTTCTTTTACACCAGATTTCGTAGGGTATGTTGTTTGTAGCTTTGGTGGGAATTATGTTGCTTAGGAGATTCATTCTTTCTTTTGAGACATGTCCAAGTCTCTTATGCCATAGTGTGAAAGATTCTGCATTACAAGGCTGTTTTGAACTTAACACATTTATCATCTCTGTACTTTGATTTGGTAATTTGCAGTTCAAACGAAACATTCCATCGATCAATAATCCATTACCAATAAAACTTTTATTTCTGAAAATGGAGAAACCAGACTCATCAAACTCAAACTGTAAGTTTGATTTTACAAGCTTGCTAACTGATAGCAAATTCCTTGTCATAGAAGGAACATAAACGACATCAACTAATTCCAAAATAAAACCTGACTCCAACTCAAGACTAGCTAAACCAACAAAATCTACTCTAACTCTTTCTCCATTTCCCACGAACACCTTCAAGTCATCCTTGTTTGGCACCCTCTGTGTTTTGAATCCCTTTTCCCTTTTGTTTGTCCAACCAGCGCTTGTATCTTCTGCAATCTCTCTTTAAATGTCCAAATTTCTTGCAGAAGAAACACTTCAAACCTACTGGACCCGTGCCCTTTGCAGACTCATCTTTCCTTTGCTGCTTATCTGTGTTCTTGTTTTTGGTCCATTCCTTTGGTTTAAACTTAGTATCCTGCACCAAAAACACTTGTTCTTTTCCTTTGTCCTTTCTGATACTTTGTTCTTCCTACACACATATACCTATCAAATCAGCAACTGACCATATCTCCTTCTGAGCAATATAAGTAGTTTTCAGTTGTCTAAAAATGCTAGGTAGAGAATTAATAGCAAAGTGCACCATCATGGTTTCATCCACATGGACTTTTAGAGCCTTCAGCTTGTTTCCTATCTCAACCATGTTCAGAATATGAGTTCTTATGCAGCCTTCTCCATTGTATTTCATATCTGTCAGCTGGCTCATGAGTGAGCCAATTTCAGCTTTCTTGGATCCTTGGAAGTTTTCTGCAATAGCTTCCATGAATAGCTTAGCACTCTCAGTTTCAATAATACTGCCTCTGACCTCTTCTGAAATAGACCTCCTCATGATCAGAATTGCCATTTTGTTGGCCTTAATCCACTTTGCATATTTAGTCTTAGTCTCAGCAGATGCATCAATCGCAGGTACTGATAGAGCTTCATCAGTAAGAACCATCTCATAATCCAGAAGTCCAAGAGCAATTTCCACATCTTCTCTCCATTTCTTATAATTTGAGCCAGTGAGAGTTCGAATCGAGTTATGATTGACTGTACATGTTTAAAACAAGATAAGCACTTTATATATAAAATTCCCCAGAACTTTAATCAAACACACTTAATCACATCTTTGGACAATGATTCAAGCATGCTTATTGACACTGGAAAACGAGTAGATGTGGATTTCCTGAGCAAAAGATCTTCTACATCTTTAGACAGAAGAAAACCTTTCACTAATCCATATCTATCCATGTTCCATGTCGATCCACCATGATGCAAGACATATCAAACTGCTGACATCTTTGGACAGAAAGCCTTTCGACATGTTTTGCATCATGGTGCAAATTCTGATCATAAACCTTGAATATAGTGATCATGCAATGGTTGAGTCGCTTTGGCTTACTCAATCACGGCACAAGAACTGTAAGCAATGATCTGTAGAAAACTTTAAGAACATGATAAAGTTCATACTTTATACTGTTATCATGTTCATACTTTATAACTTAAAACTGTCAGTTATTTATTCTCAATTTTCCTGCACGAGTTTTGTTAGGTATAACATGATATAACTTAAGCTCTAATACCACATGTTAATTCCTTAAAGCCATAACATGTTTAATACTAACCTGAGTCTGACATGGTGCTGGGGCAGATTGGATGATGCTGGAACAGATTGGCAGTGCAAGGTATAGAAGTTCTTCTCCTGAGAATCCGATCCTTATAGCTATAACTCTGATGGGTGAATTTTGTTTAGCTGTGTTGTGTTATTCGGATCTAGGAGGGAGCCTTCTATTTATATGCATCTCTCTAAGTGTCTTGCCCATCAAGAAACACTTAGAGATATCCTTCATGCTATAGGATTAATCCATTTCAATCCTTGTAGAACTAGGAACCCTTAAGCCTTCATTATCCTTATTGAACACTGTTTGAGGCTTGCCTAATCGAGATAGGTTTTGAGTTCCTAATAAACAATAAGTCTTTGTAATCCTAAGTTGATTAGAAGATCACTTTAGTAGGTTTAATGTAATAAACCTTCTTACACAGTAATGTAAACTTATTTGGCACTTATGATGCAAATGTTTATGCAAAAATACAATGACGACCTGAAGCATACCTTTTAGAATTGAGAATCGCAGAACCATCAAGTATAAAACGAATTCCAGTATTCATAGAATTTTGTAAAGCTACAGAGCGAGACTCCTCATATGTTGTTCCTCCAACAATGAAAATCACAACTTCTTGAGGCCTGCTTAGAGATAGTATGTGTCATTCAGAACATTATCCAAATTATTAACTTTTCTATCCTCACACTATCAAATTATAACTTTAACAAGATGATTTACAGGTTATTATAAATATAATAGATTGCTAGTCTGAGTCCACAAGGATGTAAACCAGACAAAATGAAGTGGGGTGGGGGGATAGTAGAATCAAAGTCGAGCAACTTGACAAGAAAGGCAAAATGATGACTGAGCAGCTCATAATTAGTAATTAGTCACAGTCGGGCTTACATCTGAGTCATCTGATATATCTAGAGAAACCAGCAAGAATGAAAATTATGAATAGAAGCAATCATGAAAACCTGATCACTCTCTGTTATGTTGAATAGAGAATGGATTTAATTTTGTCGGATCTTTTAATCACTCTCTGTTATGTTGAATTGGGAATGGATTTATTGTTTTCATGCTTAGTATATGTTGGTTTCATGCTTGATTTCATGTATATGTTGTGTTCTTAATAGGGTTTTGGGTTATTGAAAATAAACTGGGATATCGACGCGTTTTTAGGCATACGACGACGGTTTTTTCATAAACCGTCGTTTGTATTACTTATACACGACGATGTTCTTTAACTACCGTCGTGGTTATAATTAGACGACGTTTATTGAAAATCCGTCGTCCATTTATGTCAAATAAGTCTGGTTTTTTTAAAAAAACTGTCGTTTGTGTTTTATATTACTTGCTATTAGAACTTTATATAATATGCTATAGTGATGGTCATTGCTTGTCTTTTCACTTTATTATAGATAATAGGGTATAGTGTCGGAGATGGATAAGTCATGGATGCACTCGGATAGAAGATCGAAGGCATATGAATTAGGGGTGGAAGCATTTTTGAACTTTTCTGTAGAAAATCTTCTAACTACAACACATATCCGTTGTCCATGTGTTAAATGTGTTAATTTGAAATTGTTTGGGGTTGGAATTATAAGGGATCACTTATACTTTAATGGAGTTGACCAAAGCTATAAGAATTGGACATTTCACGGAGAACCTTGGGAAGCAACTACTAATGCTAGTAGAAATGTTGAAGAAGATGATGACCATAGTAGGTACAGTTTTGTGTCTGAAGAAATAGAGATGGATGATAATGATTTTGGTGATTTTGGATCCGATCCTTATGAGTTTGCCAATGTGATTGGGGATGGAGATCAACCAGTGTACCCTGGTTGTAGAAAGTACACGAAGTTATCGGCATTAGTGAAGTTGTATAATTTGAAGGCAAAACATGGGATGAGTGATGTTGTTTTACAGAATTATTGATACTTCGAGATTTGCTTTTAGAAGGAAATACAATACCGGCCTCTATGTATGAGGCAAAAAAGACTTTGTGTGCATTGGGGCTGAGTTATGAGACAATGCACGGATGCCCCAATGATTGCATCTTGTATAGGAAGGAGTATGAGGATTCAACTATTGTCCTACTTGTGGTATCTCATGTAACAACCCAGTTCCTAATTAATATTAATATTATTTTATTCCAGTAAAAGACAAGAATACCCCCAGAATAATTTATATGATTTTAAGTTGACTTTTTGACCGGAAAGGAATTTGGGAATTTCGATTGCACCGTTGCGTAGAGCGTGACGAAACGAGTTCGTAGACATGCGGCACACTCAATTTCGAGTTGTAACGAAGGAGGAAATGTCTAAAACGAAAAGGACGTAATGGGAATTCCAAAAAAAATTACTGTAGCTACAGTGCTGCTACAGTGCCGGTCTTCTTCCTTGCGATTTAACCAGATTTTTCTGGTTATATTTATTTTCATTCCCTCCACTTCCATCATATTTTGGAGACACCATCTCAGCCCGGTTGCTACCGCAACCTTCACGAGATCTCTTCCTCTCATCCTCCTCTACAAAACTCACCCAAGACCCGATCCGATTCGGTGACGATGAGCCCGATTCGAAGCTTAGAAAAGGGACGAGTTTGCCGGCGATGTTTTAGAGTTTTCCGGCGACTCCGAAGGCCAAATCTGTCGAGTGAGGTATGGTTTCTCACCTACTTTTCGAGCTCTAGCTGCTGGTTGGGTAGGATTTCAGAGATTTCAAGTGTAGATCGTTCGATTCTTTAAGTTAGGTTTCAGCAGGTTTTCGGGTCACTGTTTCGGCCACTTCCGGCCAGTTACGCTGCCGGCGCGTGTGGTGGCGCGTGGGCAGATTGGTCGAGACCCCATTAAGTTCCAGAATGATCCTTGGGTCATCATGAGTGCATAGGAATTTGCGGATCTCAATTCGGATGCCGTTTGAACCCCGAACGGATCTCGCATCTTGTGTGATTTCCTGGTTCAATAGTTTTGAACCGTTGGATCGTAACCAATTTTAGATATGTTATTCTAGATTTTCTCAGGATCGTATAGTATTTGACGGATCACTAAACGGAGACCTGGATACTCCGAAAAGGGCAACCCTAGGGGTACGTTTACAGTAAAGTCAGTCCATACCAAAAAGGGTATCTAAAGCCTGTCAGGGGAGGAGCAGACAGTTAGCTACAGGTTGCGGCCTGGACAGAAGCAGTATCTCCGAGGCCTGCTAGTTTACAGATCAGGAACAGAGAAAGAACTACGTGTAGCTTGATCCCTCAATAAGGTACGTAGGCAGCCTACAGTTACCAGGCGCAGCCACGAGTTAGGGCCTTAGAGTTTGTGTTTTGTTTTCAGGGCATTTTGGTCATTTACGACCCACAGTTACCAGATGTCAATTTTAAACAGGTTTCGACCTGGATTCCAAAGTGAAAATTGAGTCGGGTCGTCTCATCTCAAGGTGGAAGGAAGGCAAAGATTCAATCTTGAAAGAGGATGTGTCAGCGAAGGTGGTGTGGTATTTTCCTCCAATTTCAAGGTTTAAAAGGATGTTTCAATCACATGAGACAGTTAAGAGTTTGACTTGGCATGCTGCTAGAAAATCAATTGACGGTCAGATGTCTCATCCGGCGGATTCCCCGTCTTGGAAACTTCTTAATGATAAATGACCCGAGTTTGGTAATGAGCCGAGAAACTTGAGATTGGCTCTTTCATCTGATGGATTCAATCCCCACAGTTCTCTAAGTAGTAGATATAGTTGTTGGCCAGTTATCTTAGTTACATATAATCTCCCTCCATGGCTGTGCATGAAACGAAAGTTCATGATGTTGACCTATTGATTTCTGGTCCTAAACAACCCGGAAATGATATAACGTCTACTTGGAGCCTTTGATTGATGATTTAAAATCTTTGTGGGATGAGATTAGAGGAGTGTATGATGCACATAATGGAGAATACTTTTACACTCAGAGCTGCATTAATGTGGACAATTAATGATTTCCCCTGCCTATGAAACTTATCTGGTTGTGTTGTTAAAGGATATAAAGCTTGTCCAATATGCGGCGATGATACACCTAGTCACAGGTTGAAAAATGGCCACAAAATTTGTTATATTGGGCATAGAAAATGGTTACCAATCAATCATCTATATAGGAGGCAACGTGCAGCTTTTAATGGGAAACCTGAATATGACACACCTCCCGAGCCATTAACCGGAGAAGAAGTGCTGCATATGGTTGAAGATGGTGACAGAGTTTGTTGGAAGAAGAAATCAATATTCTTTGATCTCGGTATTGGAAATACCTTCCTGTGAGGCATGTCCTAGATGTTATGCACATTGAGAAGAATGTTTGCGATAGTATCATTGGTACATTGCTGGAGATCCCTGGAAAAAATAAAGATGGGATTGCTGCTCGATTAGATTTATTGAACATGGGGGTCAAAATTGATTTGAAACCCGAGTATGGAGAAAGACGTATCGTTTGCCTCCCGGGCCTTGGAATTTGTCAAGAGCAGAGAAGAGTGCGGTTTGCAAATTCTTCTATGGTATGAAGGTCCCTGGAAGGGTATTTCTTCAAATATTAAAAAAAACAAAAAAAATCTTTAATCTTTACAAGGATTTTAAAGACTTCTTGGCCGAAATCACATGATTGTCATACCTTAATGCAACAATTGCTCCCTGTGGCAATTCGTTCTGTTTTGGAGAAGCCTGCAAGGTATGCAATAACTCGTTTGTGCTTCTTCTTCAATGCTATATGTGCAAAGACTGTTGATGTTTCCAAGCTAGATAAGTTGGAAGAAGATCGTAGTAGTTAAACTTTGGGTTGGCTTGAGGAAGTACTGTCCCCGGCATTCTTTGATTATCATGGTTCATCTAGGTATACTCTTGTCAGAGAATTCGTCTATGTGGGCCAGTATATTTTAGATGGATGTATCCGTTTGAAAGATATATGAAAGTGCTAAAGGGGTATGTTCAGAATCGTACTCGTCCCGAAGGTTGCATTGCTGAGCGGTATATAGCTGAAGAAGCTGTAGAGTTTTGTACCGAGCATTTATCTGATGTTAGTACAGTTGGAGTGCCTTCAAGCCAAAAGATGGGAGTTTCAAAGCCATTATCAGGTTGCACAGTGAGCGTAGTTGATCGGGACCTGTTGAACCAAGCACATCTATATGTCTTGGAGAATACGGAGGAAGTCCTACCTTATATCGAGTACGTATGAGTTTTATTCTTTAAGTTTCCATTTTAATTATTTCTTATGTTTATCTTATATGTTTGGGACCGTAATGCTTGAATTTTTCGTGTCATGTAGGCAACATATGATCCACATCAAGACCGCTTATCCAAAATTTAGAAAGAGAACAAAGTGGCTGCAGGATAAGCACAATAGCACTTTCATTCAATGGCTACACTTCAAGGTATATGTTATTGAATAACATATTGGACTTTTAATTTTCTTCTTTCTATGTTAGATTGAATTAAGTTATGATTAATTTGCAGGTTCAAAGTGAACTTAATGAGGAAGACAATCATGGCGTATCAGAAAATTTAAGGTGGCTAGCAGCTGGTCCAAACATGGCAGTGCCATTATATAGGAGCTATCTTATTAAAGGTATTAAATTCAACATCAAGGCACAAGATGATGTGCGGACAACTCAAAATAGTGGAGTTTATTTACTTGCACATACCATGCAAGTTGCTAGTGCCAAGGATAAAAACCCAATTCTCTCAAATATGGGTTTTCTATGGTGTCATTCAAGAAATTTGGGACCTTGACTACCAAAAGTTTACAATCCCAGTCTTTAGGTGTGATTGGATAGATAGTACTTCTGGTCTTGTAGTGGACGAACTTGGATTTACCCTTGTAGATTTGAGTAAAATTGGACATAGGAATGACCAATTTGTTTTGGCTTCTCAAGTCAAACAAGTATTTTTTGTTGACGACCCGATGCATCGTGGTTGGTCGGTAGTGTTATCAATGCCTAATAGAGAATATAATGATGTTATTGGTGATGATGTCTTAGGTGATGTGAGAATTGAGTGTGAGCCATTTACTAGAGGGGATGCCAAATGTTGACACATTTGATGAAGTGGTGGGTGAGTTAGGGAGTCAAAATATTCGAGAGGGTGTGATGATGAATGATGCTTTATGTAATTGGCAGTGTATGACATTAATTTTGTAATATATTGTAATGTGATTTCTTCACTTTCATTATACAGGTTTTGGCCACAAAACAATCAGTACAAAATATACTGGTTCCAGATTACAAACACGACGGTCTTGATAAAAATGTGAAAAACAAACGTGTGTTCTAATAAAAAAAACGACGTTTTGGACCATTCAACGACCGCAATATATTTACCAATGTCTTAAAGCAATGTAACAATGAAGAACCACGACGCTATTGTGAAACAGTTATTCAGGATATCACATCAGAGAAGCATAAAGAATCGCCATGTAATTCAGAATAACACGACTCCAATCCCATAATACCGATGTCTAAAAGACGAGATATCGAACCTAAACGTTACAAAAGACGACGTCGTCATAAATTTACCACGTCGCATGTTCTTTCATAAACGAAGTGGAAAAGGATGAATTTACGATAGTATTTGAAATCCATTGGTAAATTTGTCGGATAATTTTGTTAATGATGACGTATAAATTACGAAACACGGCTGTCTTTTTCATGATAACGACGTTGTATATTGACAACAACGACGTCTATATAAATTAATGTGTCGTAATTAATGACACAAACATTTTTTCCATGTCGTTTATTTTCAGATCATGTCATTAAAATTATTTTACACGGCGGTGGAATGAGAAACGTGTCGTCTCAGAAGCATTAAACGAAGATTATATTTTAAAAGATGACGTATAAATTCTGTAATACGGCTCTCATTTATATGGAAACCGACGTTGTTTATTAGTTCAACGTCGTCTCTATAAATACATGCGTCGTAAGTAATTACCCTAACATCTATTTCCACGTCAACATTCATAGAAAAATCAAAGTGGAAAATTTATTTCACGACGGTTGTTTGGAAATGTAGTGACGTAGTAGGTGTCAATAACGTCGTCTATTATGTATTTAAAGACGTCATATTTTTATTTGTCGTGAAAGGTATATTTAACGTCGTTGAGTTTTAGTTCTCGTCGTTGTATGTGTATCTTGCAGCCATGTTATGTTAATATATGTCATATGTTTCCTTTTTAATGACCTTTTTTTGTTAGAGTTGGGTCGTCTATTCTCATCCTCGACTGTTTTTTATCTCTTTTTGCTGTACAAAGACATTGGTTTTTATTTGTTGATGACGTTGTTTGTTTTAACGACGGTTATTTAGCGTCGTGGTTTGGTTAGGGAAAAGATGTCCGTCGATTCCACGACCATTTGAAAACGGAATATACGACGGTGAATTCCCGTCGTCTTTTTCCTTTTTTGTAGTAGTGATTTTTGGACAGATGAATGCAGGTTGCTTTGTCAAGGCTTTCGAATGGATGGATGCAGATGTTTTGGAAGGATATTTGTTAATTTTTTGTCATGGGTTTGTAATCATTTATAATTTGGGATTTCTTGCTTTATTATTTGTGTTTTTTTTTTTTTTTTTTGTTTTGTTTTTGTAGTTGAATTTGTGTAGTTGTCTTACGAATTATGATTTGTTTGATGATTTTATGTGAATTTAGTATTGTTGAATGATTGATTTAGCATTTGAAAGAGTTTTTTTTTATTTTTTTGTTTTTGTTAATACTACTTAGGTTTTGGTAATTTGACCAAAAAAAAAACAGATTTTGGCCAGAAGTGATTTGGGCTTTAAAAAAACTAGTATTGGGCTAAAGTCCAAAACTGACCAAAAACACGAACCGAACCAGAGCCTATAGAGCGGCCCCATTTTCGGCTTTGAGTTTAGACCCGACCTGAGAACTGATGTCTTACTCGATTCGGCCCACGAGTCACACAAAATTCGACCAGACCTGAACCGTGCCCAAGCCTAGCTAAAGATTTATTTGTCCATAAATTTGTTCTTAATGATTAAATTTGAGGACTTTTCTCAAGAGTAGTTTCCTAGTTAAATCTCACTTTTTGTCCTCAATTTCTAAATATCCAAAAATAAAACCTAAAATAGAGATGTAAAAGGGAATTTTAAGATTACATGGATTGATTAAGAGTTTGAAGATGAAAACGAGTACTTCTAAAAAGTTCGAGGACCACTCCCATCTTATGTTGATTATTGATTTGTCCATGTAATGTCGCATTACAAAAATACTAAGACGTAAGTATGAAAACGCCAAAGAGGAACAACAGAAATGTGATCTGTTACATTTGTTTTGTACATAATATTTTAATGTGCCCATCTAGTTAAATTATTAAAATTGGTATTATTGTAAAGAGAACACAATGGTTTGATGAAGACATAATCTTAAATAATGTAGCGTGAGCTGAAGTTAATGGTGACCTAACTGAGAGGAAAAAAAAAAAAAAAAAAAAAAAAAAAAAAAAAAAAAAAAAAAAAAAAAAAAAAAAAAAAAAAAAAAAAAAAAAAAAAAAAAAAAAAAAAAAAAAAAAAAAAAAAAAAAAAAAAAAAAAAAAAAAAAAAAAAAAAAAAAAAAAAAAAAAAAAAAAAAAAAAAAAAAAAAAAAAAAAAAAAAAAAAAAAAAAAAAAAAAAAAAAAAAAAAAAAAAAAAAAAAAAAAAAAAAAAAAAAAAAAAAAAAAAAAAAAAAAAAAAAAAAAAAAAAAAAAAAAAAAAAAAAAAAAAAAAAAAAAAAAAAAAAAAAAAAAAAAAAAAAAAAAAAAAAAAAAAAAAAAAAAAAAAAAAAAAAAAAAAAAAAAAAAAAAAAAAAAAAAAAAAAAAAAATCAAAAAACTGTGAACAACTTTAAACCAACAATTCAGTGTTCCAATTTACGAATTTTGCTCATGGTTATAGTTCAAAGAGTTTCACATGCAAACGATGCTCAATAGCATCTCTCCTCAGACTAATTCCAATTTGAAAAAGTTGTTAAAAACCAAAAGATTCAATTGCTTAACCTTTAGATCGTAACATGATACAACTGGTTCATGAAAAAATAATCTAAATCAAGAAAAAAAGAAGTTGATTATTTAAGTCAATTCTTCAAAATCGCATTCCTTATCATAATTGCATTCATCATCGTAATTGTATCCATTATATTTGTCATTTGCAACATATGAATCGTCATCTTGGCCTTGTCTGGCTTAAGCCTTTTCACTGTAACCATTACTTTCATGTTCAAACTCATCATCATGATTGTTCTTCTCATTTGACAGTTGCATATCACAATTAGACTTTGTGCCTTCCTCAAATGCAGGTGCATAACCCTGATTTTACACGTGAAGAAAAAGATCAGATGAATCAAATTCCGTATCTATTAAAGTTCAAGCAATTACTCGCAGAGAGATACCTCCATTTTCTAAAACCTACCATCCATATCTATTAAAGTTCAGGCAATTACTCGCAGAGAGATACCTCCATTTTCTAAAACCTACCAGGATTTTAACTAGGAACTACATTGCGAAATCATTATAAATGACAAAAAAAACTTGGAACCATATAACTGCCCAATATTAGTTAACTGATTATTCGTGTAAACCACCACATTGATTTTCAGATATCACAGTTTCATGTCTTAATCCATGCTTAATAATAATATACCATCTTCCAAAGATTATTCTTTTATGTATTAAGTTCTGTCCTGGAGTAGTTTTGTGTGACTTGGATATACCTGTATTCCATTAAACAGGAATTTGGTGTCTGCACACTAACCAGACATTAAGAAAACAAAAAATATATTGAACAAGTAACATCATTTGACAATCGAAATTTAACGTGTCATTAGATTTGATTGGCTTTTAGTCGCTTGTAGTCGTTGCCTCAGTGAACAAGATGCCCGGGTATAGCCGCACGGCTACACTGTTTTGAAAATGCGCAAGCAGAGTATAGCCATACGGCTGCACTATTTGCTATAAAAGAAGCGTCAAACTCTTCCTTCAAAATTATAAAAGGCCATATGAGTCCACGAATATGTGGCAAATCACAAAATTGCACTCTCCCACACACACGTAGGAAACACATGGCTGCACATACGAGAGAGAGAGAGAGAGAGAGAGAGAGAGAGTTTTATGCAAAGTGTGAGAGGGTGGGGAGGAGGGATGGTGATGCGATGGGTTTTGTGTGGGCGGAGGAGGCTGCTGCGCAGTAAGGGTTTAAAGTTGTTAGAAGGGGCGGCAAGAAATGAGAAAAAATATGTAAACATATATTAATTCTCTGTCTCTGTCTCTCTCTCTCTCTCTCTCTCTCTCATTGCAGGTTATATACTCGTAGCAGATGAAAAGCAGAGGCGTCTAGATTACGAAAAATCCATAGTCTGCATTACGAAAAATCAGCCTAGGCGGCCTGGGAGGGTCTGGGCGGCGCTAGACTGGTCTGGGCTACGCTAGGCGGGGCTAGGCGTCGCTAGGCGGCTCTAGGCGGGCGCTAGGCGGCTCTAGGCGGCGCTAGGCGGATCTGGGTGCCAGGGTGGGTCTGGTTCTGTTCTTTTGTTCTTTAAGCCCATTATCAAGCATACGAGCATATCTAAAGGAGCCTATTACTCCCAGGTTTCACGTTCTTTTCGTTTGTTGGATTATCTTCTTATGACTAAACATAATTGATCTGCTAGGTGCACTTTCTGCTTTTGATAATTAAGTTTTGGTTATTAATGATTCTGGAAATTCTGATATGCTTTAATGCAACTCTAGTAAAAGGAATATATAGTATACAACCAGAAAAACGTACAAGGAAAAATCTTAAACTGTTAGGGCTGTGCATCTAAAATAATTGATTTCAGAAAAACTATCAGGAATAGAAATAAGGAGAATTGAAGCTGTCTAACAGGGTGTATAAATGAATTGGCTTGATTCTAAAGATTGAAGTAGCATATAGCTTTGTTTTTTTGGGTGTTGTAGCAAGAGCACTTGTTACAGAATTTTTTTTCACATGGTAAAGAAAGATAATTTCATCACTAAAGAAAATAAAATATGAGATGAGCACCTACATGCCATCAAAGTTAAATTTCCC